TATGGATTTCTCTTTTAAGTAATATTTTATTAGGATGTTAGAAAGGCCTGTTCTATAGAAGGCTTTCCTCTTGTTGGTCTGATATTGCTAGCAGACAACATAATAGGTGCAAAGTCCATGATTCTGTAGTTCTTAAGGGAAAAACCTTGCAATGTCTGGGTCAGAGAAGATTTCAGTCTCGTATCAGTAAAAAATACTTTTGTTTGGGATATGAAGAATCCTTGCCCATTATCATTTAGGTTAGGTTAAGTAAACACTTAGATTTACGTAGATAGATGTTTCTTTACGTCTGACAAATCAGAACTGAACTTTGTTCTGCTGCTTCAGACCAACACGGCGACCCCCCCCCCCCCGGGGAACCATTTTCCTTGGAGGGCAATGGATGGACTATTTGGGTCCAACTGTTTTCTTGTTAATTGAGATGAAACATAGATCTTCCTCCTCATTTGACTTCATTTTTGACATGGAATCTAATATGTACAACAGAAGGGAGGCAGAAAGAGAAGAGGGAACACAAAAAGAAGGAAAGCCCAAAGCGGGAATGGAACCACAAGCCCAGGTGCTTCGCAGCCTTCCAGCAGCTGCAGCCACTGAAAGCCCCTTCAGATGGATGAGGGCAATCAGTATCAATGATGCCTGCTTCCTGGAAAGCTCTGTGGCTGCCAGGAGAAGAACTGGGGGGCACCAGGGGGCACCACACTGGGGAACCGTAACCTACACAGAACAGCAGCAAAACTTAAGGGAAAGCACAGAAGCGCCCACAGCTGAACTTCTAACAACTGGCTCACAGGCTAATACTTAGAACAAAGTTGGAGTCCAGTGGCACCTTTAAGAACAACAAAGTTTATTTCTGGGTACCAGCTTTTGTGGGCATGCACACTTCTTCAGATCTATGCTCCCCTCTAAGCAGTGGAGTCCTGTGAGTAAAAATTCCACTTTGTGAGCTACTGGCATTAAAGTTGTGAGCGAGCGATTTGGCTGCTGTATAAATCAGTTTGCTCTGGAGCCCC